TGCACCTACCAACTCTGCTACAATAAGCTGTCCAATATGTCCCAGACCACCTCAGGTTTCTCTAGGACGTAAGTGTTTCCTATTTTATTAGCATCATGCTTTTCCTGACACTCTAGGCTTTCCCACAAACTCACTCACCACATTGGGCTGTGTTCTTCTGGTAACACCAGGGTAGTCAGCTGATTGTACTGCTCAGCAAGTATCTAGCAGGGAGTGAAATGCCAGTCTCTTTACTCATAGAGCTCCCCTATAGAAGTTGGTTGAACGAAGAAAGAGGCTCTTCATTCATGCCTAATCTGTAGAACAGGAGGGGGCACAATGAAGAGAATATCTGAAATTCCCTCCAGGTGAAACACAGCATATGCTATTTCTTCTGAACTTGGGGCACATTGTGGAATGGCCTGGTCACAGTACAAATACCTGAGTACTTCACTAAATCATGCTTTTCAGAGAGAGATAATGTGAATTCAGCCAAAGGGTTACTTTAATAATGTTAAAAAGGAAGATTGTATCATTTAGCCACCTTGTTTTTCATAAGCCATCAACCATGTCTAATGTTAATTGTTTGTGTTGTAACCCCCAGAGAACGTCCTCAATTCCCAACGCATGTTAAATAACCATTGCATTTGATTTTACTTGACCACTCTGCTTAGATTGATACTCAGAGTATTTCCTTAAAAAATGCTATTTAAAACCCCTTCAAAATATGTCTACTTCATCTCATCATCTGCCAGGAATGCTTTTTTTTAATATTAATCTTGGAAGTTAATTTTGAGTTATCCATTTTTTCACTCAACCAACATGCAATGATACCTCCTGTGTAACAAGCACTGGCTTGGCTCAGGGGTGCAACATTGACCAGATAGCTCCACTGCCCTTTTAGAGTCTACAGGCTAGTTGGTGGGGGGGGGGGGACGCCGATGCACAGCAAAATAAATACAAATATTACAGATTGTGATAAGCCAAGAAGGAAATATACAAGGTGCTATTGCAGAAGATAACTGGGCTGGGACCCTTTAAATGTGGAAATTAGGGAAGAGCTGTCTGATGCAGTGATGTTTTAGCTAAGATGAGAAGTGTGGGAAAGAGGCAGTCAGGTGAAGGGCAGACAGAATTGTATTCCAGGTTTAGGGAAAGCCCTTGGTGAGGCTTTGGTGTGTACAAGGGTATGAGATTTGTTATTCTAGGAAATGGCAGAGGGCCAGGATCACCAGTGCTTATTAATAGAGGGAGAGACTCATGTAGGGTCTGAGAGGCCCTGCCTAAAGGATTTTGTTTATATTCACAGTTCAGTAAGAAACCATTGAAGTGTTTAAACACAGAAGTAAAATTAAATAATTAAATTTTTAAAAGACTCCTCTGATTTCTCAGTACAAAACAAATTATAGGAAGCACCAGTGAGAGCACCAAGACAGTTAAGAGTCCATTGCAATTGACCCACAAGAAATGTTGGTGATTAGGACAAGGATGGTGACAGAGAGACAGGGAGAGATGGATACACTGAGAATTATGTTTATAGATAGTAAAGCCAGGATTTGTTAACAGATTAAATATAAGTGATGAAAGGGGCACCTGGGTGACTCAGTTGGTTAAGTGTCTTGACTTCAGCTCAGGTCATGATATCAAGACTTGTTGAGTTCAAGCCCCACATTGGGCTCTGTACTGACACCTCATAGCCTGAAGCCTGCTTGAGATTCTGTGTCTCCCTCTCTCTCCGCCCCTCCCCTGCTCACACTCTGTTTTTCTCTGTCTCTCAAAAAATAAAATAAAATGTTAATAAAAAATAAATAATATGTGATAGAAAAAGGAGAAATCAATAATGACTTCTAGGGTTTGCAAGGGAGAGAGGCTTCTGTTTTCTCTTTTATTTAGTTTTTCTTTTCTTTTCTTTTTTTTTTTTTTTGGATTGACCACGTGAGTAAGTGGTGGCACTATTTATTGATGATTAAAAAGACAGACAGTGGATCAGTCAGTTGAGCACCGATTTCAGCTCAGGTCATGATCTAAGAGTTCATGAGTTTGAGCCCCGCGTCGGGCTCTGTGCTGACAGCTCAGAGCCTGGAGCCTGCTTTGGATTCTGAGTCTCCCTCTCTCTGCCCCTCCCCCACTATGTGTTTGTCTCTCTCTCTCTATCAAAAATAAATAAACATTTTAAAAAATTATTTAAAAAAAAAAGAAAGTAAGACCTGGCTGACAAAGCCAGGATGAATCTGCAGTTCCACTTCAGACGTATTTATTTATGTGTATCTGAGACACACAAGAGGAGATACCCAGTAAATGTTTGGATCGCTGAGATGTCACTGTTGACTTTGTGAGTATTCAGATCCTATGTAAGGTCATCAGAGTAAATAAGACCACCTGGAGAATTAGTAAAGGAAGGTGGAGGCTAACATTTAAATATTTACAGTGAAAATATGTAAACATTGAAGTACTGGGAGGGAAAGCAAGACAATCTAAGAGAGGAGTCAGCTAGATAGATATTCATCAAGGGAAAAGTTTGTGTTTTCCACCATGGCAGTTTTGAGGGAGCTGCAAAAACAAACAGCATTTCACTATGCATAGGGAGATGGATGAAAATTGAGGAAGGGAAACAAGGCATATCAATAAACATTTGAAGCTAATTTACAGTGAGAGGAAACAGAGAAATGAGGTACTTTGGACCAAGGGAAGAACTTTTTGTTGGGTTTGTAATCTTTTTAGTTGTTTATCTCTTTAAGAATCTATTTGAAAGATAAGAGATTTTAGGTTGGGGTGCCTGAGTGGCTCAGTCAGTTAAGCATCTGACCGGTGAGTTCGAGCCCCACATGGGGCTCTGTGCTGAACTCAGAGCCTGGAGCCTGCTTCAGATTCCACTCCCGGATCATGCTCTGTCACTCTCCCTAAAAAATAAATAAACATAAAAGAAAAAAGATAAGAGATTTTAACAGATATTATATGAAGGCAGTCATAGTGTAGTAAGGAGCAAAATTATCAACATCTCAGGTAAAAATCAAAGGGAGAACCAGACCAGTGAAGTTCTTAAGACAGAGTTAGGCATAAAGTTGACTGACACAAAAGTATTGATTTGTCTTTGATAGAAGGATCAACTTCCTCAATTTTAATGGAATAGAACAGTGTAAGGATTTCATAATTCCAAGAAGGTTTATACATTTAATGCTACAAAGATGAGAGAGTTACCAATCAATTAAATACTTTGATTATTTAAGAAAGCTCTATCCTGTGTCTTGAGGGTAAGAGCGAGTTCCATTCTTCTTTTGTATTTCAGTTATATTTTATTCTTACATTTTAGGTTAGGCTGAAACTTCTTTCCTGTTAGCATTATGGTGTTTTGACAGTTAGAAAATGAGAAAGAATAGATTGCACATGTAATGCAATGTACAACACATGTACAAGCCGGTTGATGAATATAACTTGTCATTTAGCATCTTCCATCTTCTGGTAAATTGAATGTCTCTACTGCTACCCGAGCTCAACGACAGCCCTCTTCTAAGATGAATATTGCTTGAGAGGTCAACTGGAGAAAACTTTATCTTTCAAAAATTAGCAGTTCTCCTTAAAAGAACAATGTTAATTACCATATAAAACCCAGTCCTTTCAGGGAAGCCTGAGTGGCTCAGCCAGTTAACCATCCAACTCTTGATTTCGGCTCAGGTTATGATCTCACAGTTCATGAGTCCAAGCCCCGCACGGGACTCTGCACTGGCAATGCAGAGTCTACTTGGGATTCTCTCTCTCCCTCTCTCTCTGCCCCTCCTCCACTCATTCTCTGTCCCTTTCTCTCTCAAAAATAAATAAACGTTTAAAAAAAAGAACAATGCTTCCAATATATAATGATAACTATGACTTGTTTATTGGGATAAACAACCTGTAGCACATATGCAATATATTATATGTAAGTAATAAACATACACATATGAGTGTGTGTTCTATGTTTGTGTATATATATATATATATATATATATATATATATATATGTTTGTGCATGTATATATATATGTGTGTGTATATTAGTATATTTTATAGATAGCATGCATATACACATATGCTATTAGTATAACCTGTAGCTACATAATGTAATTTTATAGAAATAAATGTGTTAGGGATACTTAATAATTAGCCTCAACTGCACGGTAAATCTAGGACACCAAGAAATACAGGCAAATGTTTTCTAAGAATTTACAGTTTTGAACAAGAGATAGTGAAGTAAACAATTGCTTACAAGACAGTGTAATCAGTTCTTCATGAAAGGATGTTTAAAGTACCAAAGTCACAACTACAAAGCCTCCCTACAGAACCTTCTAGAAGAAGTGATCTTGGAGATAGATTTTGAAGGATGCATAGATGGTGAGTGGATATAAAGGAGTCCTAGTACATTTTAATACGAATAATATATCCAAAGGTGTAAGATACTGCCAATATATGATAGCTGAAATTGACAGTCATTTAAAATGACTGGAGTAAAATGAGTGGAGTATAATTGATTTTGCTTTAAACAAATTTAGATGTTTACCATGACATCTAACATGTATAATAAATTCATTAATTCATAGCAGAGTTTAGATACTAAATACTATTAAGTAGCGATTAGGTTGACTACTAGAAACTGAAAATTTGGTAGTTTAACAAAGGCAATGAAAAAATAATTGAAACTTACAAGTCCAACAGTACAATATTTACAAATATCAAGCTCTTCTAAATTAGAATCCTTTGCCAAGCTAAGTATACCAGTTCTAAATTTTGTGTCCATCTGAGGTTTGCTTGAGCCATATAAGATCTAAAGATCTGGCCTTAGTTAGCCTCAGTTCCTTGTCAGACATTATTACTGCATTATTTACAATGATTGAGATAGGATTGCTTTTTTTCCACAGATTTGGCAATGTGGAGGCTCTTTGGAGATTGTGACTTGCTCCCATGTTGGTCATGTTTTTCGGAAGGCAACTCCTTACACTTTCCCTGGTGGCACTGGTCATGTCATCAACAAAAACAACAGGAGACTAGCAGAAGTTTGGATGGATGAATTTAAAGATTTCTTCTATATCATATCCCCAGGTAAACAATTCTAATATCTTTCTTCATCTGCAGGGAAAAATAAAATATTAAACATGCTATATATGTGTTTAATTATTGCTACTATTCCACCAGTTTAACTAAAATGTATTTTATCACCATAATATTACAGAAAATCGTATTTGAGAAGGTAGTACTATGAAGTCATTTTTCATCTCAAATGAGAAGGACTATACTTATCTCAAATGGCTAAATATTCCTTTTTCTTTGTTTCTTTCTTGGCACAAGTATTATGCCAGAAAAGTGGAGTAAGCAGAGAGATCTAAATTTAATTAATATGTATCAGCTCAATTTAAGAAAAAAAAATTTAAAAAGAAGTAAGACTTTGTTTCCTTATTTCCCAAATAAAGTTGGATAAGTTGGCAAGAAATTTTGTTAACATTTAAACAGAGATGTTCCCTACTGCCTAAATGATTTCCTAAAGATATAGGATGGTAAGTTACACAGATATAAAACTTTATCTTTTTAAAGAATATTAAATGATGTAGCAAATTACTCATTAATAGATATGTAGAAAAGCATAATATAGGATACTAAAATATTATCCTACTTTAGTTACAAAAAGTAGATATGGAGATAGAAGTAAATGTAAGCTATCACTGGATGTAAGCAGTGCATGTGTAAATGTAAGCTAATAGGATTGTGAATAATTTATTCTTTTCCTTATATCTTTTTAAATTTTTAAAATAAAACATAGCATTTACTGTTAAATTTATTTGAAATGAATTTAAGGGGAAAATATATTTTAATAAAGAATTTAAAAATTGTTTTAAAGAATGTTACTAGCCATTAAAAAAGAAGAAAAATATAAAGTGTGAAAAAAAATCCCATACCTGAGTGGAGTGATTATGAATGATTTTATTTTTATAATTTTCTAGAATTTTCCTAATAGCTGTATTACTTATTTAAAAAAACAACCTCTGAGACATTGCGTTGTTTTCTAAGGAAGTAACATGAGACATTATGAGAAAATACAAACAAGGAGAAGACATAGGGGCCTTCAAGATCTCAAAGTTTAGACAAAGAGACAGAAACATAAATTAATACAATGGGAATTCAACTGTATTGATAAAATAATTTTTTAAAATTCTATTTTGATAGTTTATGCATAGGCCTTGTGGTCATCAATGTCATCATTATGTAACCCACAAGAATACCAAAAATTCATGCTTACATCTTCTCTCCTACATTATAATCTATTGAACGGTTTGGAAACACCAGTTTAGGTTCTGACAGGCTCTGATTTCTGAAAGTATATATACGGCTGTGAAAATTCTTCTTCTACAGATAAAGGGACAATGAGCAGTATGAACTTCCTTGTTAAGATCCCGTATTACTATAGAAAAGAAAAATGAGAGCAATGCATGTGTAAATGTGTGATTAGGTGAAGGATTTTTCTTGCACATTTTCAAGCCTCTTCCATGTCGAGAAGCTATTGTCAGGAACACTATTTCACGCATAGATGTATTTCTCTTTACAGTAGAAAGCCAGTCCAGATATTCAGAGTCGCATTTGGCAAGAACATGTAAAATTCATAGCAAGGCAGTGACATTTATATAACCTTTTCATTTTCTTTTGATAATGCCTTCTGAACCCAAATCATTACTTGTAGAAATATATAAGCTCAAATACGAAGAAAGGAGTAGTGGAAGAAAGAAATGTGCCATGTGTGATTATATACAACTTATATTCAGGAATAGAAGTATTTGAGAATAATTGCAACCATGTGTATTGTAGTCACCCATGATGAATATTATTTGTAAAAAGCAATGTGTTAGATTTTGTATAATTTCCCATTGAGTGAAAAAGGCAGATAAATAGTAGAACCATTTCTCAAACTGTAATGAAATGAAAGCCTTAGAGTTTAATGGGTAAAAAGGAACACTTGCTTTCTGGAACTATTGACTTTATGTTACTCAACAGGGACTGTTTGTATATTCTGGAAATCGTAGCTATCATTTGGAAGCTTATTGTTCTTATGAAATGGGCTTATTTAAATCCAAAAAGGTATTTTGGAAAGCAGGAAAAGGACATTTGGGGAATATGCTGAAAATATCTAGGAACTTCTTCAGGGCGTTTGCGTTTTTGTATGTCTCTGACTGTCAGCGTGGCCAAGCATGGAAGCCGCCTGCTGTAGTATGGGCAAGAAGGAAAAACCAAAAACACAAAACAATAAATTGCTTCTCAGTGAAAAAGGAAAGGAAGTAAGCTGGAAACTAGAGTTGGATGTCAAAAACAGTTCTAGCCCTAGACAGCTTTCAGCTCATCCAAAAATAGATAAAATGTGTTGAATTGGGGAAATCAAGACTCTGTCACTTGTATGGTGGTGAGCCTTTTTTGAGTGAATGACTATTTTAGTCATTACTGATCATCTCTGATACTCTTAAAATCAACATCATGGATTTCTTTGCTATCATCCAGAATTGTTGGGATTCTGTTTTTCATCTCCTTGGGTAAAAGGAAAGTTTGTAAAGAGAGAAGGTGGTGTATGGGGATAGCAGAGAGATCCATGCGTGCACACCTACACTTAGACTTACATCCTTTACTCTGATATACATACATGCACACAAACACACACAGGTATTTATGAAAAACTCTAAAAAGCTTATATTGAATTCTGTCTAATTCTCCAAAACTTGCTTAATAAGCGGGCTAAGGAAAATGTTATAATACTTTCTAGAAGGACCTTTATGTATCTATTAATTTGCCCAAGATGTTTTGTGAAGAGACTCCCATTTTTTTTAATTTTTTTAAAAAATTTTTCAACGTTTTTATTTATTTTTGGGACAGAGAGAGACAGAGCATGAACGGGGGAGGGGCAGAGAGAGAGGGAGACACAGAATCGGAAACAGGCTCCAGGCTCCGAGCCATCAGCCCAGAGCCCGACGCGGGGCTCGAACTCACGGACCGCGAGATCATGACCTGGCTGAAGCCGGACGCTTAACCGACTGCGCCACCCAGGCGCCCCGAGACTCCTATTTTTTACACCCAAGGCTTCTATTAAAAAAAATCTTGTTCTCCTCTTACACAGCTGTTCAAAGGGTGATCTTTAAGTGCTGAGCCTTTATGAATAGAATTCTGACAACTTTGTTTCCTTCCAATATACTCTATAAAATACTGCCTGTTTTATTGGTTGGTTTCATGCTTCAGCTCTGTCTTGAAAAGACTGGGTATTCTTTCTCTCTCAAAAGTGTATTGCCTATAGTTTTAATACCACAGCCAATCCATTATTACCATGTACCATATTGTTCTTTGTCTATTACTTGTCTCTTTATCCATAGTAGTTTAGAGACGTGTAGTTACAGTGTTTAGCAACTTTCCTGTCATTTTACAGTCCTAGAAAAACTGTGTGTTGAATAATTAGAAGAACCAATGAATGACTAAAGGGAATGACCAATGCACTTTAAAGGGAAGCCACTTTTGTTTCTTCTTTTCTACTGAATTCTCCATGGATGTCTGATCTGTGCCAGACTCCTCACAAGAACTGCAGCACATTGGAAGCTTTTGTCCCCCTTCCCTGACCTAACCCCTGAGTAAAGACCCACTTCCCTGATCTAACCCCTGATTTAGGACCCACTGATAAGAGGGAAATGAAAGCTACTCTTCATATATCTGTGATGTCTTATAGGTACTTATAGGTACTTAAAGGTACTCTTCATATATCTGAGTTTCCTCTCCAAAAAGAAGGTTCCATTGGTTTACTCGTGTTCTTAGGGAATTATGATTACACCATAACTATAGACACACACAGTAATATAATCCTACCTTCCAGGACTAATATAAAAGTCTAACAGGCACGATTTAGGCAAACAATAACATTCTGCAATAGAGCAGCACAGTATAAGAGCCCATAAGCTTAAAATATGACTACTTTTACACATGTTGATTTTTATTTTTCTCATGACCCCCATTAATTTAAAGTTAAAATGGGATGTATAGATAACTACGTATGTGAATTACTTTATGTGACTTTTTTGCAAAATATTTACTGTACATCCTAATTGTCTCAGCCTACGCCCATTAGCCATTGGCAATATTGATAGAGCTGGCTGTATCTAATTATGTCTCCCAAATGGGTATATGAATGAAGAATAGAAATACTTTGAAATAGTGTTGAAGAATACATTTTCAACACTTGTTTAGTTTGCTTTCTGGCTGCCTTTTTGAGGATGCAAATACTAAAGCATCATTGATTTTTAAAGCCCTGTAGGCTCTTAAAGTCTGAGGCAGTTTTTACTAGTAATTGGGCTGTTACAGCTGGAGGCAATGTGATTGTCCTAGCAAATCCTTTGAAATGAAGTGATGTCAGCAGAAACCACTCTTCACAGAGCAACCCATTATAAATGCCCACATTTTTTTCCTATCAGTCACAGGTAAAAAGCTTAAGAACTTTAAAATACAGTATAGTCATAACACTAACCATGTATTTGAAATGCTGGATGCTCTATAAATATTGATTTTCTTTTGGGGGGAGATAGATTTCTAACTGTGTATCAAAGGACATGGTGATTAGAAGAAGCTGTCCTTATATAACCTCCAGTTGTTCTTCCTTTTCTTTTTTTTAAAAATGTTTTCAGGTTTATTAACCTTTCAGAGACAGAGAAACAGAGCACTAGTGGGAGAGGGGAAGAGAGAGGGGGAGCCACAGAATTGAAAGCAGACTCTAGGCGCTGAGCTGTCAGCACAGAGCCCAATGTGGGGCTCAAACTCACAGATGGTGAGATCATGACCTGAGCCAAAGTCAGTGGCTCAACTGACTGAGCCACCCAGGTGCCCCTGTTCTTCCTTTTCTTAATGAACCACTTGTGCTCTTGTTTTGAGCAGACACAAATTGAATATAGAATTTAAAGATCCCCCAAACATACCTTTAAAGGTATTTATATGTGACTGGGAAAACAGCTTATTTTCCTTTGGCAATTTTGTAGCATTTTGATCTGTATTCCAGATAAACAGAAACCTCACATTTAGCAACACATCCTTGAACTTATTTTGAAGGTTAACTCTATCTGTTAACCTTTTAAAAATACTTTAGAAAAGTCAGTTCATCAGAGGCAGCCTTTGTTAGAAGCATCTTTGCATCATTATGAAAGTTTAAGATGTATGTTCCTTTCTATCTCTTGAAATTTTTATCTATGAAATACCAATGTTTTTCAGCATGCTGGTTTTTTGAAGATACAATATTTAATAACCAGCCCTTTGAATGTAGGTCCTAATTTCTTTTATGAGTCATAAAAATGTGGTTCCAGGCCGATTTCATGAGCACAGGTTTTGATGTTCTCCACAAAATATGCAGCATGCACATTTTTTTTTAAATAATAGTCCAGGGATATCAGTTTTTGGTTGGGTTAACATGAATTCATCTCTAAAGAGTGCGGCAGTTCTGAACATAAAGTACATTTGCACCTGTGAATTTTGTATTTTTATTAATAAACACTTCTTCAGCAGCACCAACCATGTTCTCACCAAGTGCATAGGATATCAGGAGGAGGAAATTCTAAATCATTTTAATATGCTTGATTGTAATAGCATGTAATTCATGTATCTGGTTGATACTGTGAAATGCTAAATGTGGAAGAAAGGAATGATGGCTATACTCAATATTGTTGGTATTGTGGGTGGACAGCTGTTTTTCCTTGCTACAATTAATTAAAGACACTAGGTCAATTTTTATTGTTGGTATTTTATGGGTATTCATTTGTGTTTCTTTTATAATAATGATATTTTCATGCTTCTGTCTTCATTGGGTAGGTATTTATTAAATTCCTGATCTGCACTGTGCCAGGTAGGGAGGGTACAAACACAGAAAAGATGTTGCTTTTGCCTTTAAAAAGTGAACTGCCTATATCATCACAATTAATTAGTTCAAATGAAAAATGAAATTAAGTGCTTAGTACATGGGGAACACGCTGTCAAGATTTAAAAGGGATACTTATGTGAACGACCAACATTCTCCTTGATTTCTACTCTCACTCATAAGCATCAAAATCAAATGAATATCTAAGTCTTTTCCCTTCTACCTGCTAAGTTTTCTCAAATCCGTTCAGTTATTCTTGTTCTTCCACTCATCTCAAATCCAGAGAAACTCTTGACCATCCTGATGGGTCCTCCTGCCTCAAAGCTTTGTCCACTTTTCACCCACTTTTACCATGTTGCTCAAGGACACTCCTGAAACTAAATTTCATTTGATCTCTCACTTACCTACCAAACTTTTAATGACTTAACAGAAAGTCAAAAATCTGGAATGTGGCCAGATCTGATGCTCACCCAGCCTTTCATCCTCTATTTTCAACCCTAGCTTTCCACACACCAACCATGTGGAACTAAAGTCTCAACATGTTCCCTCCAGCTTTTAGAGTTTTGCATATGTCTAACATAGTATTTGATGAGTTAATAGTATTTGATGAGTTAATGAGTGAGTTTACCTCTGCATAAAGTGCCATCATCATCCACCGACATTCATGATTCATGTGTAATGTTTATTAGCGTTTTCGCGGGAACTCCAATGGCCTCCCCTGTTGTAGTATTTATGCATTTTTAAAGTATTTCTTCCCTCCACTAAGCTGTGTGAATAAAGAGACTATATTTGTTGTTTGGTTAGTTGATTGGTTGGTTGGTTTTGTTTTTAGAGTTCATTGAACTCAATTTTTTCTTATTATATTTGTCAGAGGCAAAATATATGTTTCAGTCACCACTGCTGTGTCCCCTGCTCCAAAATAACCCTCTGTGAACCATTTGGTGCCTATCCTTCAAATCCTTTTCCTATTATTTGTATACATATATAGACATATATACATATATTAAGTAAATAAGATCATATAATAGATACTGTTTTAATTTCCTTTCTATATAGTTTGTCCTATAATGTTTTACACAGAATTCACATAAGATTATATCATTCTACCTTGGAACTAAATAATACTGTACTGCATGGATATATCAAAACTTATTTAATCATACCCATAGTGACAAACATTTGTCGGCTTGTGGTTGTGTATTATTATAAGTTACAGAAGCGTTCTTGAAGCAGTATCTTTTGAACCTGGTAGGATTTGTCTAAACAACATAGCAACCTAAAAAAGAGTTGGTAGCAGACTACCTGGATTATTTCAGGTCCTGGCTCCACATAACCCCTCTCTGTATTTACTTAACTTATCTGCGCTTAATTTCCTTACTGTAAATGAGACTTATAATAATTGGGCCTTCCACATAAAGATTTTTGAGACTTAAATGACAACTAGATATATAAGGCATTTTGGACAATGCTTGGCAACATTAAACACTCAATTAGTGCTAGATATTTGTTATCATTAGCCAGATATATTCATACAAGTAGATTTAGTGAATCAAAGAATATGTACATTTGTATTTTGGTAGAAATTTTCAAAACTTCCATCCAAAATGATTGTAACCATTCCACCAACGGTTCTTGAGCACTTATAATATGATTATCACCACTCTAGATTTTTAATACTTTTTATTTTTGCATAGATATGTGTGTGCACATATATATGTGTATATTTATTTATATTTGCATATAGAATTAATACATATCTAGTTTCTTTTCTCATATTGCTACTAGGTATGAACATCTTTTTTATTATTACCTGGATTTCTTCTTTTTATTCATAACTTTTGTTCACTTTACTATTGGATATCTTTTCCCTTTTATATATTCATAGATCTTTATGGATTTTTGTAACCAATATTTTGTATGTTATATACACTGCAAGTATTTTCTCCCAGACTGAACATGTTGTAATTTTTTTTGTATATAAAAATATATCTTAAAAAAGAATTTAATTGTTGAAGTGAAATCTGGCTGGCTTAACCTTTATGGCTTTAGAGATTATTTTGTGTTAAAACAGACTGGCAAATTTCAGGTACCCCACTAATGTTTGTTGAGCGATTTAAGTTTGAGGTTAGTAAAATGTGCAGGATTTTTTTTTAAGTAGTCTGTGATCTCTCTGGGCAATAAATGGAAGTAGAATGCTAGAATCCGATAATTCTCCTTATGCAAAGTATTATCATCTTTACCCATGGAACATAAATAAAAGTATTAGCTTCAATAGTTACATCAGCTATAGCTAGTTAATCAGTTATAATAGTTAAAATTTTAAATAAATCTATTAAATGATTATATCAGTTCCCATTACAGTAATTATTTCCAAATATCTTGAATTGTATTCATGGTCCATAAAGTTAATAAACAGATGATATAAATAATGTTTATTGAATGCTACAAAAATATTGAATTTGAACATAAGGGTGGATCATTGTACCCTCAGAGTCTTTGATTAACCAATCAACAACTCAGATAATTAGTCCCTGAAATAATTTTATCATTACCAAATCTGAGTAGTTTCAAGTATTTCTAGAGTGAATAAATATTACTTAAGCTCTAATATAGATTTATTCACATAATTATCACTACCTCCTAGGATTTAGATATCAAAATTATTCATACATTTAGTTTTTGGTTCATCTTTAAATGAAAAATGTATAGCCCTAGTCTAATCAGTGTGTGTGTGTGTGTGTGTGTGTGTGTGTGTGTGTGTGTGCAACTTCTGCAATATTCTGAAGTTTCCAGTAAGTAAATTCTACCTCATTTAGATTGGATGCTCATGATTAATTTTCATTTCCTTAAAGCTTGTTCAACTAGTCAGAATAGGACATTACAATGTTTTTCAAATTGGTGTAAACGATCAAGACCACTTGTGTAAGATGGATGGATTTTTACTCTCAGAAGTTGGCCAAGAGTTTTTATTGATGTAAGAGCATTAAATATGGATCAAACATGATTCAGGTGCATACAGAGGTTTTCCCATACCTACTTTCATCTTGTGATCTTCAGAGTGCCCCAATTTTACTATATAATTTTAGCATAACTAAAATTGAACAGCTTAACACTTATATAATCAATTACATTAAATGTCGATTCTAATTCTTACCTCAGTTGAACAGCTCATTCTGACACTCAGCAGCAGTCATTTACATAAAGTTATTGGCGGTCAGATGGTTACAAATTGCAGATTTCTTTTCTTTTCTTTTCTCAAATTGCAGATTTCTTGTTTTCAATGCTCTCAGGCTAAGTCCCCTGCATTAGGTGTTCTGGTGGATTATCTTTACCTGGATTTCTATGTTATCATCATCTTTAGCTGTTTTATTTTATTTTTTTTTTCAACGTTTATTTATTTTTGGGACAGAGAGAGGCAGAGCATGAACGGGGGAGGGGCAGAGAGAGAGGGAGACACAGAATCGGAAACAGGCTCCAGGCTCTGAGCCATCAGCCCAGAGCCTGACGCGGGTCTCGAACTCACGGACCGCGAGATCGTGACCTGGCTGAAGTCGAACGCTTAACCGACTACGCCACCCAGGCGCCCCATCTTTAGCTGTTTTAAATAACAGTTACTTATTTACATATACTCTTAGGAGAGTGAGCAGAGTCAAAGATAACTTTCAGAGAATTAGGAAACACAGTCTTTTCTAGATCCAATAATGATAGAATGTGGATTAAACTCAGTGTGCTAAGTTGAGGCTCTATAAAATAATTCTTGGCAAAAATAAAACAATACAAAAAGGAACTAGCCACATGCTAGCCTACCAGACAGTAAATACTATGACATTGGGTGCCTAGATGGCTCAGTCGGTTAAGTTTTTGACTCTGTTTTAAGCTCAGGTCATGATCTCACAGTTTGTGGGTTTGAGCCCCGCATCAAGCTCCATGCTGACAGTGTGGAGCTTGCTTGAGATTCTCTCTCTCCCTCTCTCTTTGCCCCTCCCCTGTTCACTCTCTATCTCTCTCTCAAAATAAATAAACATTAAAAAAAAAAAAAACAACTACTAACGATAGATTACCTTAGCATCCTAATAACTTACAGTCTTTTGGGAGTAGCTCTCCTTTAGCATGTTAACACAAATTATCTAGAAAATAAAAACTATTTTTAGTAGTTATCTTTATTCAATGAGGTTATAAGTTAAGGAGAGCTTTGCAGCTAATCGTTGGTAGAAAAGAATGTGGGGCAATAGTTATGGGCCAGAATCGAAAGGTGATTTACACAGGGTGAGAGTTTTGCAAAGGAAAGTAGAAACAATTTCTGAAAAGGTAAGATGCCTATTTAACAAATAGGCCTCTTGCATGTTTTCACCAGAAGCAGCATTAATATGAAGTAGTTATAGTTAATGTGGGGTTGTCAGTGCCTTAAGACAGGTGGCCACCATATTGACAACCATCTATGAGCCCCCAGATGTGAAAGCTCTACTTTAGACAGTTTGCGCACATACACATAGATTTATTAACACATAATCAATGAGGTAAGTAGTAATTCTGTATGAATTGCCTATAAGTATTGATGTTTAAAAAAAATTTTTTTTTACATTTATTTATTTTTGAGAGACAGAGAGAGACAGTACGAGCAGGGGAGGGGCAGAGAGAGAGGGAGACACAGAATCAGAAGCAGGCACCAGGCTCTGAGCTGTCAGCACAGAGCCCAACACGGGGCTCGAACCCATGAACCGTGAGATCATGACCTGAGCCGAAGTCGGACACTCAACTGACTGAGCCACACAGGTGCCCCATAGAAGTATTGATGTTTTAATTGCAAGAGACATGAACAAAAATTAAGAGATTATTCTTTTTTTAATGTTAATTTTTGAGAAAGAGAGAGAGTGTTAGAGAGAGGAGGAGGGGGAGGGACTGTAAGAGGGGGACAGAGGAGCCAAAGAGGACTCTATGCTGACGGCAGAGAGCCCAGTGTGGGACTTGAACTCACTAACTGTGAGATCATGACCTGAGCCGAAGTTCGATGCTTAAGCCACCCAGACACCGCAAGAGATTGTTATATTTTACAAATAGATTTAAAGTGACAAAACAATGAAGATCTCAGATTAGCATTTATCTTTGGTTAGTTTGGCTGAGCAAGTTAAATTTTAAATAATACATGATATTAGCAATTTGAATTAAGGCATATTCTAAACATGGAAATAGCGATAAAATATATCTAACAGCTAAACTTTTCTAATGTATATTGTTGAAAATAAGATAAACGAAATTACAGTGATGGTATTCTTATGACTGAAAGTTTTACTAAATGAGCTCCATTGTGACATTATTTTAGTTTTTAAACTGTTTTGTATTATAAACTGCACATTTTTGGCACAACATCTCAGTTAAAAAAATTTGAAAACTTAGGAATTTTTCACAACTTAGTAATTTAGGAAATTCTATTCTTTCAGCACAATTTAATTATATTTCCAATAAGAAATTCTTATTGGAATTAAAGAACATAGATCTCAAGTGTCTGAATAAGTTATTTAATTGATCAAAATGAACGTTCCAAATTAGATGTAACTGTATGTAACTAGCCTTCGATCTATGATATATGAACAACAGTGGAAAGAAGGGGGGGCTTTGATTGAGAAATAAGGTAAGAGAGGGTGCAATGTTTTTACTAAAAGGGGATATTATGTGGAAAAGCTCAGGCATTTGTATAGATTCAGAAGATAAGAAATTATAAGCAGACAATTTTAAGTTCTTGACCAAGAAGCTTTCCAGAAATATAATGAATTGGTTTGCAATGCAATGAGTTTCTTGTCTATGGAAATATTCAAACAGAGCCTAGATGTCTGTCTTTTAGAGACGCTTTAATGAGAATTGAGTAAGAGGCTGGATTTTGTTATCTGAGAAACTTTCATATCAATG